AAAGAGTTAGCTTTTTACTAAAATCCCCAATCTGATTTGGTAGCTTTATGAATTTAAAAAATGTATACTGTAGTAAAGGTTTCCAAATCCTAGAAACGTTTGATCACGTTAAAACTCGGCTATGTAATGCCCTAGACGAATGCAGTCACAGTTCCACAGTACCGCATTATCGAAAAAAAATTGTATGGCACCATCAATTGTGCAGGCTATGCGTTGTCTCCTTTACACCAAAAATTTCCGTGTTCAGCTCGGAGATGACATTGAATGAGGTTCGCGTCAATTCTTCATCCATAAATTGATAGCACATAACGACCCGGATAAAGAACAGCTCAACTGGATGACGAATAAAGGACGGCACCAAGTGCAGACGACCATCGGCTTCAATCTTTTCGTACAGCGTCTGTGTACGCTCATTGTCATTCTGAAGTCAAAAGAAACAAAAGGAATGTAAAAATATTCACTTAATTTTCTTTGAGTACAGTTTATTTACTGCGTTGCTTCACCTTTATGCGGAAGCAGACCAAACCGAGCGTGACTTCACCCACGATCTCGAATCGTCCGTCACTTCTAAGTAGGCGTTCCAGGTAATGCGCCATTTCGACATGCTAAAAGTGTTTGGCATAATAATCTAAATAGGACGGCTTTTACATTTCTGATGTACTTCTGAAGGCCACTGACACCGTAGGCTCTGAGTACGAACCATATCTTAAGGGACCTGCAGCGACGTCCAAGTGGAATGTGCCAATGCTAGTGAAAACCAATTAGATGACAGAGAAGAACTGGAACAAACCCTGAAATCGGGCATCTTTCCCAGTTGTTTATGTTGGAGGTACGAAGCATCAACACTGAAGGCGCTGGTCAAAGAATGTGCATTTTTTAACCTAGGGAACATGGAGGGAGGGGAAATTAGCAAGTTAAAGAGCGTAGACGTCTGTTAACGTTTCGTTATACTAGATGGGAATACAGTAGTCGCCGGCTATTAAGCCCACCTCGGGCCCAGACCAAATTG